CAGAAGAATGCCTGGGCCCTGGGTTCAATTCTCAGTACCTTCCTCTACCCCCAAAATCTAACAGGCCATCAAAAGATCAGGAAACCTTAAATGTGTATTAGTAAATGAAAGAAGCCAATCTAAAAATGATCCCAATCTATGATCCCAATTTTGTGACGTTCCAGAAAAGGCGAAACTGTGGTCTTGGTTGTGAGGATTAAGGGGAAGGGAGGGAGGGCGAGGGAGGTGCAGAGGTCGCTCCAGGCTGGCGAGGCTGCCCTTGCGATGCTGTCTTGGGTGTCACATGTCACCCCTGTGCTGAGGGAGCCTGTGTGCGCTGTGGGCTTTGCGTGACGTGACATGACGTGCGGGTCACCGGTCCTGACACGCACATGTCCAGGCGGTGCTGGCAGTGGGGCAGGCTGTCAGTGTCCAAGGCGGGGACACATGAGCCATTTCTCCTGGGGTCCCCATGCCCAGGACCCCAGACTGGTGCCCAAAGCGTGGAGCCCTCGAGTTTGGGGTGAGTAGAGCAGCTCTGACCTTAGTTCCTCTTCTGCACTCAGCCCTTAGAAGTGAACCCAGCACTCAGGAGGCTGAGGCAGGAGGACCATGGAGGATTCAAGGCCAGCATAGACGACAGCAAGACTCTGTCTCAGAAAAACAAAAAAGTGCAGGCATACACAGGTGTCGCGCCAGCCTGACTTGGGGCTTTCTGCTTTGTCTTTGAATTTCAGCTTCTTTGTCTGTAAATTGATCTGCTGTGTAGGATTATTGTGAAATGAAGAAATACAAGCCGGGAGTGGTGGTGCACACCTGTAATCCCAGCACCCGGGAGGCTGAGGCAGGAGGATGGGCGTGGAGGTGCACACTTGTAATCCCAGCACTCGGGAGGCTGAAGCAGGAGGATCACAAGGTTTGAGCCTAGCCTGGGCAATCTAGTGACTTGGTGAGACCCTGGCATAAGATAAAATAAAATAAAACAAAACCACACCATAGCTCAGTAAACCAAATAGAGATATTCCTTGTTTTACGATCTTCCTGTTTAAAAAAAAAAAAAAAAAAAAGATCTGCCAGTTTTATGACCTGCCCCTTAGACTTACGTCCTTCCTTTTTTTATAAATACAGTTTGAAGCCGGGCGTGGTGGCACACGCCTGTAATCCCAACATTCAGGAGGCTGAGGCAGGAGGATCGCTGTGAGTTCGAAATCAGCCTGGACTACAAAGTGAGTTCAAGGCCAGCCTGAACTGCATAGCGAGACCCTGTCTCAAAAAGACAAACAAACAAAATATACATACAGTGTTGTACATCTTGTTTACAGAGCTGTAGTGTCCTTTTCTGACCCATAATACCGAGGGCTAATGAGCCCCTCGGACACCTGTGGGGGACGACAGGAACAAAGAAAGGCAGAGACAAACTTCCGGGTATGGGGGGCCAGGAGGAGCTGTCTCTAGTGTCCCTAGTGTCCTGGCTTCGCTGCTTTCAAGGTCAGCTCGCTTCTATTGGCCAGCAAGTAGCGCAGGGGAGGGGTGGCCAGCAGGGGAGGGGTGGCCCTCGGTTCAGAAGCGGTAGTCAAAGACAGTGGGTGGAGAAGGATTAAATTAAGGAGGATCCAGATTGTCTCTAAACCCAAATGCCCACATTTGACAGCTGTCCTGGGCAGGTGCTGTCTTGCCTCAGGGGTGCCAGGTCATCGGCATTCTGTCTGTCCGTCCTTCCCTGCACGTCCCTGTTCCGGAAGAGCGGTCACCGACTCGCATGACCTGTCCCAGAGCCTGGTCCCCGACAGTGCGCAGCTTGTTCTCCAGTGCGGTGAGTTTTGCTGACTGTACTGTACCGGCCGGGCCTGTAGTTTTCTGCTCTGCTGCATGCGACGGTCCTGCCTGTAGGAGTTTGGCAAATACAAGCGCAGTCGTCAGGGCGCAGTTTCCCTTGGCCTTTCTGTGTCCTGAGTGTTGTGACAGACGCACTCTGCACAACTCCTCGATCAGCGGCCGGGTCACCCAGGATCTGTGGAAGGCGGGACTCTGGTTACATGAGGAGCACCCGCCCTTCACTAGAGACGGGGGACACGGGTGCGCAGCACGGGCCCCTGGAGGCCACAGCGCGAGACGGGATGCCCACCACGATGATGCGAGGCGCAGGGTGCCGGAGTCCGGCCGTGTGGCACCCGGAGGTGGACAGTGCCCGGAGGTGGGCAGTGCCCGGAGGTGGACAGTGCCCGGAGGTGGGCAGTGCCCGGAGGTGGACAATGCCCGGAGGTGGGCAGTGCCCGGAGGTGGACAGTGCCCGGAGGTGGACAGCGCGAGCCCTGACACTGTAAACTGCCCTTGGGCCGTGAGGATGGAACAACTTTAGGAACAGTTTGATGACTTCTCAGGAAGGGACCCACGGGCCAGCCGTAAGACCCCACCACACCATGCCGCTCCAAGGTCTTCATCAAGGGAGAAGAAGTGAGCCGTGTGCACGCATGCTGCTAGCAGCTCCGTGTCTAATAGCCCCAACCCGGAACACCACCCGTGTCTGTCCGCCGGTGGGGGGTAAACAAAAGGTGTCCCTCCTTGCTGTGGACTGCTGCGGGGCGGTCAGAAGCCACGCGCCACCCCTACACACAGGAACGTGGGAGACTCTAAATAATTACGCCCAGGGAGAGATTCCAGATAGAGAGCTGCACAGTCCAGATTGCACTTACATAAACTGCCAGGTGTGGTGGGGCACACCTGTGATCGCAGCACCCCAGAGGCTGAGGCAGGAGGATCGCCGTGAGCTCAAGGCTAGCCTGAATTACACGCGGAGACCCTGTCTCAAAAAAAAGGAAATACAAACTGTGATGACAGAAAACAGATCAGCCTTTGCCGGAGGAGGACGTGTGTCTTGGGGTGTGGTTACGTTTACTGCCTCAGTTGTGGAGGCAAATGTCAAAACTCACAGAGTACGCCCTTCACATGTGTGCAGCTTCTTGTATGTCCTTACACTTTACCAAAACTGTTTTTAAAAAATCACCCCGAGCTAGGCATGGTGGCACATGCCTGTAATCTTAGCACTTGAGAGGCTGAGGCAGGAGGGTTTCAAATTCAAGGCCAGCCTGGACTCCCCAGTGAGATCTTGTTTCACATGGAAAAAAAAATCCCTCGGCTGCGGTTTGGAGAGTGGATTACAGGGCCGTAGGTCCAATTGCAGGGAACGTGCCCCACCCAAAGTGGCTTCTGCAGCTTGTGAGCTTGGATGATGGCACCGCTGGGCGGCTGTGCTTGCTAACTTGGTAGGGTTTCTGCAGATCCGAAGCCCAGCAGCCAGGCTGGCCCTCGGGAGCTGAGGGATTTACCCTCCCCCTCCCCTCCCCCTCCCCCTCCCGGTCAGCCCCACTCTCGTCTCCCTGTGTGCGCCCAGGTGGGCAGGGCGGGGCGGCGGCTGCTCTCCGGAGCACCTCAGGCCATTGCGGGTGGGGGGGGCAGGGTGTGGCCGGAAGGGCCACCTGGGGTCACACACCGCGTCCCCCCAGCCCCCAGCTGTGCGTCTTCCTGGAACTCGGGGCAATGGGGTGTGGTCCTCCTCCCCGCCAGGCCACTGCGTTCTTTCCCAGACTGGGCAGCGGGCGACTCACTCTGCCCCCTCTGCTGTGCCCCCGGCCCCTTTCTATCGCTCTCCCACCGCAGGCATGGACTGTTCTCCAGGGACCTGTGCTCTGGGTGGCAGCCCCAAGGAGCCAGGAGCACAGTGGAAGCCTCAGGGGAAGTCAGGAGCCAGGAGGGCAGAGTAGCAGGCCAAGGCGAGCACAGGCGCAGGTGCCTCTGGCCATTGACCAGGAGGCTGAGGCAGGAGGTTTCCACAGGTGTTGGGAATGTTCGGTGTCTCGAGTTACCTTTTTACTTTATTCCTGTCTGTTTTTTTTGAGACAGGGTCTCACAGTGTAGAGCAGGCTGGCCTTGAACTTGCTTATTAGCCCAGGCTGGCCTCCTCCCCCTCCCCCCTCCCCTGCCCCTCTCCTCCCCCTCCCTTCCCCTGTCAACCTGCTCTCCTCTCCCTGCTGGGCACCCAGGTGGGAAGGGCGGGGCAGTGATCCTCACAGTAATGGCACGCCTCAGCCTCCCCAGTGCTGGGATCACAGGCGTGCACCATCACGCCCGGCTAAACATCTTCATTCTTTTACGTCCTTTTCTCTCTCTCTCTGCCTCCCTCTACCCCTTCTACCCGCGAAAGCTCCATCTCCCCAGGCGGGTCCTCTGGGCCGCCAGGAGCAGCTCCCAGGCAGGACTCTGGCCGGCCCCGCACCCCATCCCTTGCTAAGGTTCGGAAAACCCGACCGGGCCGACCCACTCCCCTGCCGAGTCCTCAGAAGATTCTGGGGTCCGACAGGCCGCCCCACAGCTGTAACTTTCCAGGCAAGCAGGCCGGGCAGTTTCAGTGAACTCACTTCCTTAAATTCTCTGGACCTCACAACCTAGACCGCAGAGCAGTGCCGTCCTCCGCACCCCACAGCCCTGCCGGCTCCCAGCGCATCCCCCTCCTGGCCCTGTCTGGGCGGACTCGGGCCGGGCGCCCCAAGGCCTCCCTGGGCTTCTCCGCCTCCCCTCCCCCAAGGCCCTGGGCTCTGCAGGCCTCGCGGGCGGGAAACTGACTGAGCCGGGTTCCACCCCTTGACAGTCCTGCAGCCCGCTTAACTCAGAGCGCCCCTCAGCAGCAGCTCCTGCCCCGAAACAGAAGCCAGCCGGGGCTACCAAGCGGGATCCTGTTTCAAAAAACAACAACAACTAATTAGGAGGCGTGCTGTGCATGCACCGGCACCCGGGGTGCATGGAGACCGACGCGCTGCACACGTGGACCCGTGCAAAGAACAGATGCGTCCAGAAAGAGAGAGGAGAGGGCTGCTCGTCAGAGCCACACGCACTGGAAGGAGCCACGGGGGTGCAGCCCTGGGCTGCCCACGGGGAGGGCGGCTTCCCGCCCTGGCCCTCGGCTTGGCCACGACTCAGTTTACCCCTGGGCTCTCTGGACTCAGCGGTGTGTTCTTGCCTTGCAGGAGCCTGCGTGAACTGCAGCAGAGGGGTGTTCGGGGCCGGCCAGGCCTGCCAGGCCATGGGCAACCTCTACCACGACGCCTGCTTCACCTGTGCGGCCTGCAGTAAGTGTGGGGTACTCGAGGGGGCCGGGGGAGGTTGTCGTCCTGGCGACCCTGGGCCCACGGTGGGCCGCACCCTACCAGAGCAGGTGCAGGTGACTTGGCCCAAGTGCCCAGGCTGCAAGTGCTGGGCCGGGCCCTGGGGCTCCCCGATAACAGCAGGTGTGAGCTGCACAGCAGAGGCCTCAGAGCACGGGCTGCGGTGTGCCGGGACTGCTCCCTGTCGCAGCTGCAGGGCCACCAGTCAGTCCCTCAGCCAGGGCGACGCGGTCCGCTTCGTATGCTCGGCCCGATCTTGGATTCGGAGCTGCCGTACGAGCACGAGGCGTGCTTGCGTGTGGGTGCGCACCCGCGGGCGTCCGTGTGCGCCAGGGAGTGCAGGGTGATGAAGGTGACCGTCAGGAGACAGAGATGAATTGCTGCCACGCAGGACGTGGGCCACGTCTGAAGACCAGGCATGAATTGTGCCTGTGTTGTGGTCCCTCCCGGCAAAGGTGAACGTGGAGAAGGGCTCTCAGAGGGCGTCCCGGGACGCGCTCTGGTGCTCTGCTGGGTCTGGCGGCTCCAAGGCACGGAGCCTCAGAGGTGGAGACGGAGGCGGCTTGCTCACTCCTGGCCCGATGGCTGTCGATCCTGGCAGCGCACCAGCAGCACCCGGGGAGATGCGAAACCCAGCGAGGCCCCGGCAAGCAGAACCCGAAGCTCTGGGGTTTCCAGGGCTGAGCGCCCTGGTTTGGTGCTGGCACCGCCTTTTTATGGAGAAGGGAAGGAGACGCCTGCTGATGCCCAGGTCAGCGCTGTGTACCGCTGTGTACCGAGATGTCTCCGCTCAGCCTGGGTCCCTAACGCTCGAGTGCCAGCCCTGAGAACGTGCAGCTGGAAGCCCCTGGAGTGTGTCCTGAGCGGTGTTCGCCTGCGTTGGCAAACCCTGGGGCAGACTGGGCTGGGTCAGGAGGTCCACTGTGTGTCCCCCGCAGGGACCCGAGGTCGCCAGTTCCTGCTTCCCGGCCCCGGCCTGTCCTTGTCCTTGGGCTCCGCGGTACCGCTGGTGGCAGGATGCCGCCGGACACGAGGTGCCGGGTGATAATTGCGGCCTGTGGCAGGCCATCAGTTCGAGTCTGCTGAGGAAACGTGCTCCAGCCTTCCCGACGCCTGGCTGTTCCCCTGCACCCGGGGCCACTCTCACCGGTCCCCGAGTCGGCTGAGAAGTTCCGCGACGTCTTTGACGCGTGTTTGTGGTTTCTCTGTGTGGGAATCGTGATCAGATCATCCTTTAGAAGTTATCTTTGATTTTATAGCTGTTTCTCAATACTGGCTCTGAGTACCAAGAGAAAGAACATAAGTACAAAGCAGAGGCTGTTTCCACCTCCAGAGCTCCGGTTTGGACTGGGGAAGGTGTTTGAGGGGACAGCGTCTCAGACTTCGGGCGCTGCTGTGACAAAGTGCGGCAGGCGGGCGGCTGATTTTCCAGAATTTCCGCTTCCACTTTTGGAAGCCGGGAAGCTGCTTCCTGGTTCCTGCATGGCGCCCTCCCTCTGGGTCCGCAGGGAGGGGCGCAGGAGCTCCCTGGCCTCTTGGATCAGGGCCACGACCCCGTTCCCCCCCGTTCCTGCGGCCCTCCCCACCGCACCATCGGCTTGGGAGCTGGGATCTGAGCCCAGCAACTTCCCAGGCCGTGGGTGTGGTGCAGGTGGCCAGCCACTCCATGGCCCAGGTGTGTCCAGGCCCATCTGCAGCAGGCACAGACCCTCCGGGACAGAGCGCCCACAGGTTTTCCTGGCCGAGCGCTCAGGGCCTGTTTGTGGTCTGGTCCACGCACTGCCTGTCACTTCCTGCTTCCTCTCCCGCCACCCTGAATTCCCCTTTCTCACTTCCGTGGCTCTGGCCGCAGTGTGCTCTGGAGCGTCCTTGTCACAGCACGCTTTCCTCGGTCGCCAGAGGCCCAGCCTCCGCACTGCCTCTTCCTCTGTCAGAGGCCGCCCGGTCCCGGCAGGAAGGAGCCTCTGCCCTGCCCTCGGCGCGCTCTGCCTGCTCGTGGTGATGTTGAAGCTGTGAGTCCCGGGCTCCGAGGCCGAGGCCGAGCCTGAGGCCGGCAGACCCGGCCCTAGGACCAAGCTGCCAAGGTGCAGAGAGGGGCTCCCTCAGCCGCGTGCTGGGTGCCGGGCTGCCTTTGTTTTGCTAACGCCCCGCTGCCGTGGTCAGGCCCTGCGGTCCTCCGCAGCTTCCTGGGTCCCTGTCCCTGTCCGTCCAGATGACTGAGCTGGGAGTGGGGTGACTGCAGTGCAGAGCAGGTGACACTGAGGCGCAGCCCTGGGAGGAAGCCGGGCGGTCTGGGAGCCCAGCTCTGTCCCCAGGAACCAGACCGTGCTCCTGGGTTCTGGCTGGCTTCCGGCCCGAACCCAGGTGCTCAGGTCCCCCTGCACAATGTTCGGTTTCTGGCTTGGGGACTGGGAGCGGCAACGTCGTTTCGTTCAGTTCAGTTTGAGCTTAGCCGTGAGAACGGAGAGGCAGGATGGAAAGACGGAGAGCCGTCTGGATCCTAGCGGGCTGTTTGCGCCGTTCTGCTCTCCCCAGGTCTGGTCCGGACTGGTGCGCGTTCTTCGGTGCTGTGAACCTAAAGTGTAAATGCTGCACGTGTGGCTCTGAACTGTCACCCACGTGTGTGAGCGCTGTCGAGTCTCCATGGTAACAGACCACACTTCCACCGCCTCAGACCTTCCCCTGCCCACCCAGCGGCCTCCTTGCTGGTCCTGCCGGGAGAAGGCGCAGGCCTCACTGGGGGTGTCCGTGTTCGCTGCGGGCCTTTTTCATTGCTGAGTGGTTGCTATGGAGACAGGTGCTGAGGGTGCTGCTGTCCCACCTGGTGCAGGAGGGCAGGAGGAGGGTGGCTTCCGTTTGTGCTCTGGAGGTCAGGGGCATCTGAGAGGAGCCGGCCCCCTGTGTGGTTGGACAGAGGAGGAGAGCAGGGAAGAAATATGCCCTGCTGGGCGGGGTCCCCCGGGGCACCCCTGGGTGCCTTCAGAGCAGACCCTTTAGGGGGGAAGTAGGCAGGTCCCAGTCCTCACTCTGAAAAGGAAGATTCTGAGCCGGGCGTGGCGGTATATACACCTGTGATCCCAGCACTGGAGAGGCTGAGGCAGGAGGATTGCAGCAAGTTCAGGGCCAGCCTAGCAACACCCTGTCACAGAATCAGTAAATAGGAAGATTTTGTTCATTTTGTCCACATTGTCAGTGTTCACAGCTTCTGTTATTTTTCGACTGTTTGAGTTGGAAAGCGTTCAGTTGGCCGAGACATGGCCCCAGAGCACCCAGGTCTAGGGCTGGAGACCCTGAGGCAGATGGGAATCCCGTCCAGGACAGCCCCGCCCATGGAGGCCGCTGCAGACCGTCATTCCCTGCGCTCGGGTCTGAGGGAGCCACAGCTGAGTGTGCCCCCCTGACAGCCTCGGGTCTCCCACCCTCAGGGTCCCCGCCATTGACACTGCAGGCCCTGGGCTTTCGTCTCCTCCTTCTCTCCCCGGGGCTGGGCAGGAAAGGCCTGACACGGTGGGAACAGAAAAGCAGAAGACAGGGAATTTGTAACGCCACACACGCCTGTCAACCCAGCACTTGGGAGGCTGAGGCAGGAGGATTGCCATGAGTCCGAGGCCAGCAGTCTGGTCTACGTGAGAGTTCAAGGTCAGCCTGGACTACATAGCAAGACATCGTCTCAAAAAAAAATAAAAAATAAGAAAAGGACCCTGAGTGGCGGGAAAGATGTGCCTTGGAGCAGGACGCGAGCCCCAGTGGGACTCCTGGGGACGTCAACAGCCGTTGGCACAGGACTGCGCCCTTCAGACTGGATGCCAGCTACTGGGGGCGTGGGCTGTGAGTTTCATTTTCTGTGTGACTGCATTTTACAGGAGAACAAGCCTGGCAGGTGGAAATGCAAAGCCACCGCACACCAGCTCCCAACCACAGCGGGGCTGAGAGGGCCGTGGTGACGCAGGGGCTTGGACAGACGGTGGCGACTGCGGGTGTCCCTGGAGGAAATGAAAGGTCACTGAATGTTCCCGGCATCAGGGGGAGAACCTGATGTGAGCAGGCTCGGGGCTGGATCCCGCCGGATGCCCGTTGTGTCCCTGCTGAGACGCCGCTACTAAGTGTCCTGGTGATGGGCCAGGGTCCGCTCTCTGGAAGAGGCGTAGGCAAGCCTGGGCCCCTGCCTGAGTGACCCCACTCCCTACCCTTCTGCCCCATTCCCGGCTTGATGAGCACAGCGGAACCTTTTTTTTTTTTGTCTTTTTGAGACAGGGTTTCCCTGTGCAGTTCAGGTTGGCCTTGAGCTCACTTTGTAGCCCAGGCTGGCCTTGAACTCACAGCGATCCTCCTGCCTCAGCCTCCCAAGTGCTGGGACTGCAGGGGTGCACCACCACACCTGGCTGTAACTCATGTTTCTTTTGATCTGAAATAGCCTGGCGGTTTCAGTTGCTTTTATTAGCAGTGACCCTCCCCCAGGCGTGGGGAGTTGAGCCATCCTGAACGGTACCCCTTTTATCCTAGCCCCCTCTTATCCTTTGTTTTGAGACAGAGTCTTTCTAAGTCACTGAGTTGCCCAGCCTGGGAGCAGACTTACAGTCCTCCTGCCTCAGCCTCCCAGAGTGCTGGGATTAGAGGCGTGGGTTCCCATGCCTGGCCAGTGGTTCCTGTCGGTAATTTACCTGCTCTGGAACGAGCTGTCGGAAGTCGACCCGGCAGAATTCAGTGTCCTGATGCCCTGGTCCCAAGAGGCCCTCAAGAGCGGCTCATGTGATTTTATTAAATCTCCATCGTGACAGCCACAGGGGCGGGGGCAGGCAGGCAGTGCCTACGGGAACAGGACAAACGCCCAGTCCAGATAACGCTAACACAGCTCCGTGTGGGGAAACGCGCTCGCTCGCGGGTGAGGACCTGAAATTCCTGGTGAAATCTCTGGCCAAGGGCTGGTTCCTTTTTCAGAGCAGGTGGCGGCTCATTTCTGCCCC